GTGGCCTGGCAGTAGTGTTAACTAGCCGTTATCACCTTCCCCGGCCTCGGCCTCGGCATGGCTTTCGCAGCACATTAGCGCTCCTGCCTTTCACCCGCCCGTGGCTCACTTGGCTTTTGTTTGCCAGCTCAGCCGGCAGGGCAATCATGCCAAACCTGTCAGACCCTTTTTAAGGAGACTTTAGCCAGGTTCCTCTGTCGGTGGGTCCGTTCACCAGGTGAGCGGTGGTTGGTATGACCCCCGCAACACACCGCGTGGTAAGAAGTGGGAAACAGCTGGCAGAGGAAGAGCTGGGAGCTGTAAAGGGTCGGGGGGAAACAAAATGAGGTGAGATTTCAGCTGCACATAACTTCAGCAGCGCTTGGCACCCGCTGCGCAAGGGGTGAGAGCGCGGTCTCTCCTTCGCAGGTCCCCTCACAAGCCCTCGCCCCTCCAGCAGTCAGGGAATTGATCTAAAACTCACGTATTAGCAACAGGAAGGTTGCTGCGCAGGAGGCACGTGCCCCCGTGCTGGAGGGCTGGTGCCGTTGCCCTCACCTGCGGGCTCAGGCTCTGGGGACAACAGTTGCAGGCCAGGTGTTGGCCAGCCCGCGTGAGAGCAGAGTGCTGGGCTAACGGGATAGATAGCTGGCTTCTCGGCTGTCAGTCTGACCCTGCTGCCTCGTTATCTTAGCCAGAATTTAAGTCTCCAGAAGGGAAAAGGGTGTTTTCTTTCCTTGACCTCTCCCATAGCCTGGGCACAGCAGAGCTCATGGAGGAGAGGTTGCACGCTCGGGCTTGCTTTGCCTGGCAGCAGCCGGACAACAATCGAGTACAACAGCACAGGAGCCAGCCTGCGCACACCGCTGCTCGCATCTAATGTCATGTCGCGCAGGCTGCCTCTGGGCGAAAGGCAGCGATGTGCATTCATGAAAGGGCAGAGGGCAAATCGCTCATCAAAGGTCTTAAGAATAGCGGGAAGAGAAAGGTCCCTCCAGCCCGTCGCGCCCGGCTCCCATGGAGCCCGGATGCTGTTGCACCCTAGGGCAGCTGGCTGGGAATCCTGCATCCACTGCACAAATTGAAAACTAGATTTTATTCAATTAAACGCCAAGACTGATCATGTAAATCAGCACAAGCCCATCCCTCCCATTGCCAGGCCAGTCTTCCCATGACATTTTTCTATGCAGTTTATTTGACTTTTCTATCGGCCTCACATCTCTTGATTTCTAACTGGCCCAGGATTTTCATAGCCCCGGTGCCTGACCCTATCTGAGAAACCGTCAGGAGTCAGCCTCACACAGCCACGGAGGTGGCAACGAGAAGAGGGTGCTGGCCTTTACGGTGGCGCAAGGGAGGGCTTGGGAACATTCATGAGCACATTAATTTTATGCTGCTGCCAGAAACAATCATCAGCAGGACTGTTAACGATGTTGGCATGGAACTGGTTGGTCATTACATTTCAGATTAATCCTCTGGGATGAATGGGGCAGCTTGTATCTCCCTCTCCTGAATAAATAGAACATAAAACTGGGAGAGACTTTACGGAATACTGACAAACCTTCTATTTTCCAGCCTAGATTACTTCATGGTTAATTTATTCTTATTTGTTCTTATGTAACCTTGTTCTCATTGCTTTTTCCCTTCCCCGGTGCTTGCCCCTTTGAAGTATTTATAGACTGAACTCACATTCCCTCCTTGCCTCTGCTAGAGGAGACAGGCCACAGTCTTAAGAGTCTCTCTGAAGATAGATTTTTCTACTTTCCTACCAGTCTGCCTGCTTTTCCTCTATTATAGGGGTGACCAGGCCTGAAAACAAGGCCTATTTGAGATTGAGTTGTAGTTGCCTGCCAGCTGTCACTCAGGAGAGTTTCAGTTAAGCAGTGAGGGGTGGCGAATGCCCCAGGCCCATCTTTGCCATGACGCAAGGATGTCCAGCCACACGTGTGGGGCAAGTGACACGCAGCCAGCACTTTCTGCACAGCCTGGCTCACTGCACTGAACTGGGAGCACCGTCTTGCACAGAAACCAACAAAGCAGAGGAACTGAAGATATGTGAGATTTGGTGGTCAGGATCAAGAAATCCAATACTCATCTTTTGAAATGCCTCAATCCACGGTGCATGTCGCAATCCGTGGTGTATGAACTGGAGGCAGAAGACACTAAATGTCCCTTTGCTGCTGTGCAGAGTTTGGTTGCTCCCAACTGTCCATCCCTGTAGGGAGCCACATAGGTTTGAACAAAGCTCCCAGGATCGTTTATTGGCCATTGCTGCTGTGGTCTCGTACCCCACCAGCAAACAGCTCTGCAGTTCTGCTCTTATGATTCATCTTTTCTCTCTGTCAGTCGCACTTACTGAAATTTTACAATGATGCAAATATGCACTGATCAGTAGTGTTTTTCTGGGAAACAGAGAGCAGCAGAAATGGTCTGAGTACTTTCAGGCCTCTGGTAGTTCACAGAGCAATACCCCAGGCAAAGAAAAAGATATCTTGATTAGAATAATTATAATTGTCTTCTCCTTCGTTATTTCTTCAGAAATTCCAGGCTAAATTATCATCTAATTTCAGAGAGCTCCATGACCAAGATTATCTATGAGTCATTTGTAATTACGTGCCAGATTGTATTAAAGCATGAAAATACAAACGTTTCTCATCAAATACTAGGAGTGGGGCGAGGGGGAAGGGAAGAATCAAATTACGCTGGAGCAAGATAACTAACTGTTCCAACCACTTTCTGATTCACGGCATCCAGCAAATGCAAAGAAAAAGGAGGAAAAAATCTCATTTTAATAATTGCAGAATTGTGAAAGCTGACAAGTTACAGAAAGTTCCAGTTTAAGGCTGACATATCATCCTGTCCTAGCGCTGCTCTGGAAAAGACGGCAAGGAGCTTTAAGACTCTTCCAATCTGGCGCTGCACTAATTCCCGTGGGAATGTCTACTGCAGCTTCGCTCTGGGCCTGAGTTTAGCATGAAGTGGATAAAAATTACCCATTTGGCAATGCAGACCATGGCTATCTTAACAAGTTTAACTGGGAGCATTTACGTTAGCAGTGCAGTTTCACTAGCAACCATGCACATACGGGCTGCCCATCTGCACAGCCTCCCGCTGGGTGGCAGAAGGCGGGTGGCCATGCCTGGTAGCTGGGCAGCCAGTGCCTGCACCGGAGCCCAAAGGACACAAAGACAGGGCCTGGTATTCTCTGGTATTCCCTTAGCATCACTGTGCATTGTATTTTAGACAAGCTGCAGGAAGCAAAGGGGAAAACGTTCCCCACGTGGAGGTGTGGGGAAGAGAGGAGG